GGGTGATGTATCTCAAGGTTCTTTATATGGTATCAGAGCCTCTCGCCGTCCCCCACTTTCTCTTGTGAACTTTCTTAGCACAGGTAGCCTGAGCCTGTTGCATCTTCTACTCATCAAGCCCAATGGGCTCTCGTGTGAGGGGACGTGTTGAGATATATAGTCCCACATTGGTTGTATGTGCAACTAATATGGAGTTTATAAGGTTCTTTATATGGTATCAGAGCCTCTCGTCGTACCCCACTTTCTCTTGTGAACTTTCTTAGCACAGGTAGCCTGAGTCTGTTGCATCTTCCACTCATCAAGCCCAATAGGCTCTCGTGTGAGGGGGCGTGTTGAGATATATAGTCCCACATTGGTTGTATGTGCAACTAATGTGGAGTTTATAAGGTCTTGAACACTCCCACCCTTTGAACTAACTTTTGAGGTAGTGTATCTCAAGGTTCTTTACAGGTAGCTCAGAGACACAAACGGTAAGCAGAAGAGACATCTTTATTTTATATATATATATATATATATATATATGAAAAGTAAATTTCCTATCATTGTTGAAAACCCACAATGACGGGGTCTATTTTATTTGCTTTGTCATATTTTTATTATAGGATTTTATAAGAGTTATGTTGTAGGAAAAGTGATTGTGTAATATTATAGAGATTCGTTTTGCGTGCCTTAATTTTTTATTTGTTTTTTTGTTTTAAAAAGTGTGGGCCCCACAAAATGTTGTGAATATAGAAAAATTTGTTGTATTATGTTAAAGGATAAAACAAAAACCATTTATTATTTTCATCAATCCTAAGATCAACGACAGTCGAGGGGGCGTGTAAACCCCACACGAAATCCAAGAACCCTACACATGCATGAATCATTAATTTTATTTCCTTATGTTTGCACTTAATATCTATATATATAAATATAGGCCATATTATTTTATGAGAACAATTATATACTTGCTATCATATTAGACTTATCATTCTTATTATTTTATTGATGATCATTGAATTAATTTAAAATCAATAGTTAAAAAAAATTATCATTAATTTTAAATTAATTAACTAATCAGATAATAAATCTAAAATAGTAACAAGTATAATCTATTGATTATTATACTGGGAACATCGACCAAAGTATCATTGTTTGTCAAAAATTTTATTCAAATGTTTGGGAAAGATTGGCACTTTGGCCACTGTTGCATTATACTGATTATTGATTCAACGTAGATACATACCTGTGGATACACCGCAGCTGAGCAAGGTGAGGTTTTTGAGGTTAAGGGTGAGGTCACGGTGGAGCTTAACGACGCAGGCTGAGTCAACCACCGTGTACTCCGTGAAGGTTGAGGTGTTCAAGAAATGGAAGATGGGTTTGCCGTTAATGGTTGAGAATCTGCATGTGCCATCACCAGCCATAACTTTCTTCATTGGGTTCACACCAAACCTCTCACACATGTTTGTTAACTCGCACTTGCAGTAGCTACACTCACCGCACTCCCCATTGAATATCAGCACCACCATGTCCCCTTCTTCCATGTCACTCACACCTTCCCCAACGCTCTCCACAACCCTGCAAATTCAATTCCATCACTTCTCTAATTCATATATATTTTAATTAAACAATCAAATTTGTCACAACCATATCAAGTTTTTCATGTCATACCCGGAAGCTTCATGGCCAAAAATTCGTGGAAAAGCACGCTGAGACTCATTCTTAATTTGGTAAACCAAAAAAAGAAAAAAAACTATAAGATAAATTTATAATATGGTTTTAATTTTAATAGATCATATATGCATATAATATATAGATGTATATATATATATATATACCTCGCCTCGCCAAGCACTGAGATCGGTGTGACAAATAGAAGTATAGAGAATCTTGATTCGAACCTCCATTTTCTGAGGTGGATGAACAAGAACTTGTTCCACCACGAGGGGTTCTCCCGGACCATATGCCACAGCAGCTAATAATTAATATACCCATTTATTCAGATGATCATGTTTAATTAATATAATCAAGATCAATCCCAAGCAGAATGAGAAATTAGCATGCATATTCTTAATTTGCAGCAAGTATATATAAATGTATGAAATATATATATATATATATTAATAATGGTTTGAATTTAATTTATGTGTTACGTTACCTTTGCAAGTAATGATCTTTCCCTTAGTCTCACTTGGCTTCAAGTTCAATGAGCCGTTTCCATTTGCAACCTTTGCACCTTCCATCTTCCTCTGACTTGTTCTGTGATTAATTACGGTGAATGAATTTGTCAAAAATACAAATATAGGAAGGAATATATTTTCTTGTATTCATTAATTCTTCCTCTGGTGAGGTCTTTTTATACACAAAGAAATGATTCTATCAGATATGCATCAGTAACTGAAACAGATATCCAGAGTAACAAATTGCTAAACTCCTTCCCCTATTTTTAAAATAAAACAATTGTCATTCCTATATTTAAAACAAAACAATTTAAATTCAAACTTGGGTTTTAACATAATCTAAACAGAAGTTATTTATATAAAACGTCATATAATAATGTTGAAATAAGTTAGTCTATAAAAATATACTAATTTAATGATATATTATAATCTTAACTTATTAAAATTTAAAGATAAATATACTCATTTATGTAATTTATCTGAAATGTTACATTAATTAGACAGATAAGTGGGCGTTAGGCATATACCCATTATTTTTTAATACATTCGTCCGTATTACGTTCTTTCGGAAAGCAAAAGATAAAATGTCCCATTAATAAGGTAGATAGCTGGGACAAGTATAATAACTCTAATCTATAAATTGTGATTTTAGGAATTAAATTGATAATTAGGTAGAAATCCTAATTAATTATAATCACGTCATTTTTGGAAAATGAGTAAACAGTGATAGTTTTGGGGATAAAAATATGAGTAGGCAAAGTTATCCAAAACTTAAAAATAAATTAGTGAATATTATTACCAAAATATTATAAGTCAGTATGACAAGTTTGAAAGAGAGTTAAATCAGTGGGATAGACAAGTTTATGCCTGTTAAAATTTGTGTCTAAAATTCCATGAGTTATGAATAAGGATGACGTTTGGTATGCGAGAAATTTTTTTTATTTTAAAAATCACGATTTTCAGGAATATAATTGGAAAATGAGTTTTTCGAGAATGTTACCAAAAAATTGTTTGGTAGACTAACATATTTCCTGGAATATTGGATTAATTTTCTTGATACTGTATATGGTTGTATTAAAATTTTACTTATCATAGAAATCCTAGAATACCACCCACAGATGGTAATTTCAAAAAAAATTATACAAAAAATAAAATCCCGAAAAAATCAGATTCCCGAAAAAAATTTAAAAATCTCATACCAAACGTGGATAAAAAAGATTACCACCTTCAGTTTTCCGGGAATCCTAAAAAAAACTTTGTACCAAAAGGTCCCATGAAGTAATTGAAAAAGAAGAGGAAAGGAGATGTAAGGGTGTGTGGGTAGAAGTCTCACATTCGACAAGTAAAGACAGGTGGAAAGGTTTATAAGTCTCTATCTCATCTTTTAATTTGCCCCTTAAGGGCACTCCATTTTTGTGGGGGAGAGAGGACGCACGTGGGCCTTGGACCACAACACGCATGCGCTATGGCCGGCTCGGCACTGCACTATCGCACGTATGTGTGAGAGAAGTAAATAAATTTTTATTTTTTGTCCAAAATATCTCTGTCATATTCGTTGCTTCCCTCAAATTTTTCAAACTGAAACGTTATTCAACGCCAAATTTTGAACCAAAACGATGTGCTCCATTACTCAACGCTCTTTTGAACCGGAATGGTGCGTTCGATTATAACCGAACCAGTTCCGGTTCATTGTCGTTAGTCATGATGGTTCGTCAGCGACGATTCAGTGTGTCCAATCAATTCGCTTGTGGCTATTCATCGTGCCCGATCAGTGTCCATATATAGATGCTAAGCCCTTCAGAAAAACATATATCCAAATCTTTTCTGCCTCTTCATTCATGCATCCGTAGTTAATACATTATGCCATAGGATTAGTAAGTGTGATTCCTCAAGCATTTAGTTGTGTTCATGGGGGCTCTTAATTGATAGTTCCATCATTCTTGAGAAGCAATCTGTTCTATCTTGGAAGACAATTGTTCATCATACTTCAACATTAATTGAGGGAACAAATTGTCTTAAGGCAATAACAATTGTTGGGCTCGGATTTCTTTAAGCTTTTGCATCATTCACGCATCTGTTTTTTGGAATTACTATGAGTTTTATTGATTACTTTCTATTACAAATTTATCGTAATATAGTATTGCTCCATCTTGACTTCACATATTCTGACCCTTTCTAAATGACTTACTCAATAACAATACTTGAAACACTTATATTTTCCCCAAAACCACTCTCTTCCTTGTGTCTTTCTCCCGTATCCAAAGAACCCCATGAAAATGGAGAAAGAAAGCTTGAAACCATAGATTGAGCTATACTCAACCAAATCATTTCATTCCAAAAGCAAAATAATTTAGAATCTTATCCTTAGTAAAGCCCACACTTTTTCCCGAATTTGAACCATTCTGGGAAGAGATTTTCATCTTCAAAGTCTAGGTGGATTTTCAAATTTTGGTGCTTGGGGAGTTTATTTCTTTATTGGAGACTTGGATTCTGCTTGCACACTTATGTTGAAGCTCCTTGGCAAGAAAGCGTAACCTTTCCTTTTGGATTTCATGCAAATGGCTTATGTTGAAGCTCCTTGGCAAAAAAGCGTAACCTTTCCTTTTGGATTTCATGCAAATGGCATTGTTGGTACATAGGTGTCCTAGAGACAATCTGAGAGTCAAATGGACCCATGTACTTTTTTATTATTATAAATAAATTTTATAAATAAAAACATTTTTTATCTTGTTTCATGCATTGTCTAATTGGGGGAGTTACTTTGTCCATTTAATTACTCTAAAGCCAATGGTATTATTTGAATTTTAGCTAAAATATTATTACATGACATGATAGCCTATTGCATGCAAAATGGAAAACCTAAATGAATATTTATTACATTACACTATAACTGAGCTTTGGGAGTGGATGCATCTGTCTTCCTATTTTGAACAAGTATGAACTTTTTCCCAAAAATATTGCAAACATGAAATATTTCAAACAAAATTGAGAACAGATTCTTTACAACAGGAGCCTTCCTAAGAATGCAGTGTCAAAGCCAGTATATGGTGTTAAATGAGTTAAGATTATAAGTCCATTGGCCACCATAAGTACTTTGTCTCCATTTGTTGAATATCTACAAGGGAAAACATATATCTTGCTCTGAATGCTTGAAACTCTGCCACCAGAATGTATAATTTGGCTTATCAGATTTTAGGCCTCAATTCTCAAGAAGGACCTCATGGTCTTAAGAGAGGATTGATGTCATCAATTAAGATTTCTTTTGGAACCTTCAAATTTAATTGCTGGGTATCCCATTCAGCACCTTTCAACTTCTGAATGAAATCCTCAAACCTATCTTCCAATTCCATTAGGCTATTAGCAAGTTGATCACAAACATTAGCATTGTTATCCCAATTCTCACTTAGCCAGAAAGTCTGCCACACACTTCGCAATACCGAGACACTTGTAGCTCCAACCTGCATTATGATTATAGATGAGAAGGTACTCCTAATTTCTTGGTCTTAGAAGCTCTAATACTATGTCAGTGACCAACTATGCCAAAAGCATAAGTTATTAGGTGAAGGATTATGAATGGTTTTTATGTCTAACAATAGAAACCAGGTCAAATGAGGACTAAGTTTTCCAATTAATTCTCATAAGGAATTAAAGCATACCTTGAAAGAAACATAAAACTTCAAATCTTCTGGCTGCTGGTTCAACATAAGAATATATTTCTCCTTTGCATATAGTTTTAGAAGTGCCTCAACCTGCCTCCATAATAGCATTCATTATATGATTTTCCAGATGGCTTTATTTGAACAATAGAGAAAATAATTATGAACCTCTTGGTTTCCTTCATAAAATTGTGACAATAGCAGCAATATGATCCTATACCATAAAATGAGATCTCTCCACACCATCCATCTTCTCCAAGGGCAAGCCAAAAATTATTTTTGGTTTCATGAACTGCGACCAAGCTAATATATTCTCTTCACTGTTGCAATCCATGCATCCTGAAATAAATCCATCTAACAAAATTGGACATTGCTGGGAAGGGAAATAACTCACACAGCAAAGCACTGAACTTGTCCGAATGTAACCTGGAACATTAGAGTGTAACACATGTGATTTTACCAGTATGCGAGCACGCTTAAGATTTATCTGTAAACAAGAGTTTCACAAAAGAAAAATAATTAAACAAATCAATCATTAAAATAAATATTCGAAGATTGATATCTTAACTTCTCCATCCACAAACTCAGATTTGAAATGTCTTTCTATCAGCTTGCATGCATACAGATTTATTTGCATTAGATGCTACATTAGCTCATGCATTACATGCTTACTGTGTTAAACTGGAGGACTGAAAGTGATTCATAGCGTAGCCGAAGATGCAGAAGTCGTACACTCAACCAAGTTAATGAAAGTACAGGGTATGATTTTACTATGTCAGATGTATCCTGCAGTAAAAAACTTAAAGAATGTAACATGCCAACTAACAGTATCTTGGTGTTGCCACAACAAGAAATAAAGCCATCTCAAAACTTTATTTACTTTACCAGTATCAATATGCCCAAAGCAAGACCAACGAGTTGAGCAACCACTTCCCAAACTTCTTCCTGAGATATTTTGATGAAACAGTTATATGAGGAAAACCCTTTACGATTTCCATTTTCCAACCAGTTGCACATCAGAGAATAACTATCATACATAGCTGCCTGTTTAAAAGAATAAAGGGAGAATTCCTAAAATCAAGTCAAGTCAAGATGTTGGACCAAAAGGGAACTTATTAATGACAATTGATGAATCAAGTCATCTATTGCATTGACCAGTTCCCTCTGGCTCCAACATCTTGGCTTAGCCTTCGGACTCGGTGGTTCTTACAAGAACATATTAAAAGCTTAGACATAACCTGGCCTGAAATATATAGCTATGAAATACAAAATAGATCACAAGCATCTAGTATTCATATTTAGTTGTAATTTTATCATGAATATTGGGTATATAATATAAAATGTAATATATTAAGATTTATCATGAATTTTTGTTGATATGAGAAGATGTATTCATGGATAGGAGAGAGTTAAGATTAATGCTTGAAAGCATGAAAATGACAACTATCAATGCAATTTATGATCACAAGAAAAATTATTACCAGAATGTAAAGTAGTATTACTCTAAAATAATTTATGATATGAGAGTATACCTTCGCTGCAACCTCTCCTAGGTTTCCTGAAATTGCAAAATGGTTTTGAATCACACGAAAAGAAGGATCTTTCAGTCCTCTTGCTACAGCCTGTTTGAAAATAAAACTCAGAAAATTCTACAATCATTTATAAACCAGCTATTAAGCCATCCATCTGTATGCATGAATTGCAGAACTACAAATGCTTTTAAATTACTATCAATGAAGCATAGTTATTTCAGGATTCATGTTCAAAAAGAATTTGTCATAACTGCGCTTGTTTTCAATAATCCTCCAACTTTATTTGGGATAGGAAGTGACTTTTTGACATTATAGTTTGCTAAGCATTTGTTTGGGAGGATGCAAGGAAGCTGAAAAAAAATCAGGTGGCCACATTTTGGAATGTGAAGAGAGACAAATAAAGAATATAAATGGTCAAACTCTCGGTGCAAAGAATCTATCCCGTCTCCCCATTACCCCACAAAAAAAATTAAAAATAAATAAACTGGTAATTACCAAAATGTTCTGTACATAGCTACATATTATTTATCTAGGTTCAGATAATGCAAAAATCACATCAGCAATTCAGCATAGCTATCATCTGTTTCTTTCAGCCAAACAAACAAGAAATGAGCAACTTAAGTTTCTTATCTATATAATTTCATCCCTGTTCTCTTTTTTTAAGACAGAATATTATTATTTATTTATTTTTTTACTTTCCTCCTTGAACACAAAAAAATTCAATAGTAGAAAAGGAAGGGTACTCAGAAAATGACATTTTTGCCAAAGATAATTGTTATATGTTACTTTAAATCATTTGATATCTTTGAACGATTAACTAATAATCATCTATATGTGTCAGAAATTGCAGAATGTGTACTGATCCATGCATAGGCTGGATTTATACAAAGTCAGCCTTGCTAAAAAAGGAAATAATTTAATGTCAGAAACCCTGTTTTTGGGATTTTTTAATTGACTACAATCAAATGTGCCTACTAGTAATGAAATCTGTTACAGAATATTTCATAAAATATATGACAGAATCAGATTGTTCACAGTATAGCATATCAAGGCTTTCTCATAACATAATCGCCCTATTGATAGAATAAAGCTGCATAGTAAAGTACCTTAGTAAGATTTCCAAGAGATGCCAAAGGAAGAAAATAGGCAGGATACAATTGGGTTGTCAGATCAAAAATGCTGCATGAGATATCTGCAGTGTAAGGGTCTCTCTAGAGCCAGATTTTATTTGCACATTTCGATATGGAAACAACTAGGCATACTACTCAGACCTTCCAGCACTGCCAATAAAGTCTGCATACATTCTCCATTGCTTTGGATCATCATCAAAAAGATTTCCAAACCGTCCACCTGAAAAAAGTAGCAACAGTCAGTTAAATCAAAATTTCAGCTCATAATCATCTGCTTTCTTTAGCTTTCTTCATGATTGCCAGACCAATGAATAAGCGTCCAACAGCCCCAATGCCATCCTTTGAGACCCATCTGAAGATGAAAGTATAAAATATGCAATCAACCACGTAAAAATCAAATTTACAATTAAATGGCTGTGTAAAAGTAACTAAGATATTACTATATGCATAAAAATATTTGTATACAAATGCTTAAGCTCTAAAATTTATGAGTCACCTGATGGCAGCAGCAGAAGCAGCAGCTGTGGTTCCAGAGAAAGAGCCAACACCAACAGCCTGCAAGTGAAGAAGAATTTTTGACACAAAGGACAGCCTCACATTTATGTTGTGGAGAAATAATTTTTAAACAGAAGATGACATTCTTGTGGAGCAGATAGAATTGCACAACACTTTGCTGTACAATCACATAGATACAACAAGTAAAACATTTCTTGATAAAAATTAAAGGAACAGAGATAACTATTAAAGGAGATGCCACCTAACGTACATCAACATACTTTAGGAAACTTCAATCAAGATCAGAAAATGTATTTTCAGAGAAATACAATATAAAAATATTAATATGGCCTTCACTTAATAGCTTAAACTTTTGGATTGAATGACACTTTATATGGTATCAGAGCCTCTGTGGCCACGTGGTTACAAGTTCGATCCTTGTTGCCCCATTCTTTTAATAAATAATTAAATATTATGGAGTTTCTTAGCATAAGGAAGTAGATGGACCTACATTATCCACCCTTTAAGTCCAATGGGCTCCTGTGTGAGGGAGCATGTTAGAGAAATATAAAATAAAACCATTAATGTGGCTTTCACCTATCAACTTAACCTTTTGGGTTGAATTGACATTTTATAGTATTCATGGAGCAAGTAAATGATAGAACTAACTCTAATGATTCTAAAGAATTGGCTTTAAGACTCACGGACATGCACAATGGGGCTTTGTGCACCAATTATCAAACTCAATGCTAAGTAAGCCAAATGCACACAAACGAACCATAAAAATTAGCCAAAATTCATAATAAAGCATCCTTGAGAAAAAATCAGCAGCTTGAGCAAGATTGACATGCCTTTAGGAGACTTGAAGTGACTAGGGTGTGACAGATCCATCCAGTCACATTGGTAGGGAACTGTAATAACAAGTAGTTCAAGTAATCATCCGAAACTGAGCCTGCATCATCACTAAGAAAGGTAAGTGCACAAATGGTTTCCCTCCAACTTCACGTAATCACTGGAGTTAAAACTCCAGAAATTTCTCCAAGAAACATCCACTAAAATTTTTAATGTTTGTTTTTTCAAGTTTTCTGCTCTTGTGCAAGACAACCTTAGGTAAGCATCAATTCATTATAAATTTATCATCTGTTGGACACTATTTCAGTGGCATCAAGTTTCAAAGTATTTCATACCAAAGAAGAATGAAAGCATGAGATTATAGAATGGAACATGTTGCGATAGCAATACAATGTTTATCCTACTCTAAAGCTTTAAATTATTATGCATCTAAAAACTGGATCTCAAGTCCATCACTTTAAGTTGAGTTAGTAGCTTTTTAGTTGAATATCCATGACAAAAATGAAAAACAACAACAACAACAGGAAATCAGTTTAACATATTATGTTAATCACCAGGAAAGCCAGCTGGTAGAATAAAATCTTTGACTATCACTGGAAGCCATGATATTCTTTTGTCAAGGGAATGCAAATCCCGGAACCTGTTTGCTGTAGACCTTTCATCTTCGACAAGAAAGGTTTGCAACTGCGAATCATCACCTAATACATATCTGCTCATGAGGGAGACAAAAAAAGTCATAGTTAAAGCCTAGTTTGGAGAAGGCAACCACTGCGAAATCAATGTAATTGTGCAAATGGCGATTTAAAAAAGTTCAAGTGGTTACTAGAATATTCCAAGCAACAAGCAAACATGGCTATGACTATTTCCTTTTCCTTGACAGTTAATTCAGAGAGTGTATCTAACAAAGCAATTTGCATTCATTTATTTCCCATTAAACCCCAACTAGCGAGGGAGAAGTGAAAGCAATCTTTGGACGCAATTTTACCCTTATATATTTGCAAAGAGGGTGTTTCTCATTTTCGAACACTTGAACTTTCAATATAATTATTACTTTTTCTAACAAAGTAATAATTAATGTGTATTATTATTCCATGATCCCAACTTCACAACAACCACCACCAATGCTGCTAACGCAGTAACCTTCACGAATGTGCACTTACAGAAGTAAAAAAATGGAAAGAACCCAAAATATGGTGTAGTTAAGTAAAAACCTCTTAGCAGTACCATTGCTATATCTCTCCACCAATATCACCCTCGACAAGCCTTGAGCTCTGAAACAACACAACAAAATGAAAAAAGAGTTTTGAAACACATCAAAGTCAAAAGCTTGGTTTGATAAATTCAAGTGAAACCTTGAAAGATTTCTCAAAATTCATTTTTCTTTCTTGTCATTAACAGATAAATTATCTAAATTTTGTTGATTGAAATGGCGCCAATGTAACCAAATGCTTCATCAACTTGTAAAATTTTCGGAGAAGCAAATATAAAGATTAATTTTTTTTTGCCCCAGAACAGATAAATTATCTAAATTTCCTTATCCTTCATAAACTAAGAGACTTTTGGTGAAAAAAGAAAAGAAAAATTCAATTTTTTTTCCCTGAAAAATTTACCCTCCATTATCAGCATCATCTTCATCTTTGAATCCGGAATGTTCAGAAGAGCATAGGATTTGAAGGCAGTGAGGTCTAACTCTCTTCATCTTCATCTTCATCTTCATCTTCATCTTGTTCACCTTCATTGAAGAACAGAATAGACTTGAAGAGAATGAGAGTTGCAACGTGTGAGACATTGAAAAAAAAGAAGCAGCAAACTTTGAAGCTTCTTATGATTGAACTGTGAAAAAGTTTCAAACTTTGAAGAGGTTTTTGCTTCTTCTTTTATGGGTATACCTCAAGCTCACACAGTTTTGCTATCTACAAAATCCGAAACTAAAATTGAAAAACGAGCCACGAAATGGGTCGGTTCGGTTCTTCAGTTACCACCCGAATTCATTACTTGACCCAATAATTAATTGTGCACCGGCCCATGTCACTTTTCGGGCTAAATAGTCTGGCCTGCTTAACAAGTTTTTGTAATTCATATTCAAATAATCTGATATGCTAAATGGACTTTGTTTTCAGTTTGTTTAATTTTATTTTATTTTTGGATTGACTGCTATAATAAAAGTTACAGAATATTTCTTTTCGGTTTTATTAAGATATTGCAATCATATGTTTTTTCACAAACACTTCTCAAATGTAAATTTAAACTCTCTCTTTTTGTGGTAATCTTAAACTCTTTTTAATTTGTTTTAAAATGCACTTATGATTTATGTTGCACCGACACCGACACGGAATACGAAACACGATACTCCGACACGTTAATTTTAAAAAATATTAGATTTTGACACGTTAGAAAATATTTTAATATTAAATAATAAATTTAATTTATATAGTGTATATTATTTAATATTTAATATTTAATAATTTAACAAAAAAATGAAAATAAACTTATAATACCCATCAATTTTACAAAGAAACATAAGATGTAAATATTTATTATTATATTTTTAAATTAAATTTTTTTTATACATTACAGTGAGATTTATTCAATATCCAGTTTTAATTTTTATTATAACAGTTTGATAAGACATCGATTAATTTTTTCATAATATGTAATAAAATCTCAAATATTATAGATATTGAAATATGTCAGAGTGTCAAAAAAGACCAGAATATCAGAAATCAAATATAATATTTTAAGTTTTTTGAAATGTCGGTAAAAGTGGGATTCTACACCTTAGTTTATGATGCTGAATTTGTCTTCCAAGTTGGATACAGTGTCACAAATGCTGAACTAATGTGCTAGTAGATTAGTGGTTGGTTTGCTTAAAAAAAAAAAAAAAAAAAGATTAGTGGTTGGTTTCAATGAAGGGGAAGCAATATTTAAAGGAAAAGAATTAAAATTCAGATATAGGATAAAATGATTATTAAGAGAAATCTTTAGTCGTGATAGTACTTAAAAAAGTTGGTTTCATAGTAATCCGTTTATAAATATACATTTCTTTTATGAATAAGTAAAAATAAAATAAAATTAGTTATTAGGTATCACTCTAATACTTACTTTTCCTAAAAATATTACCCATTAAATGTTTGATTGACTTTATGCTATACTTGTAAAATTTTGAATATTTATTATAAAATTATGATTTAATAAATACTTCAGTTAAACAATAAACAAGTTACATTTGCATTCCGTTACATGTCTTTGTTTGCATCAATATTCATGAACATCATAAGAGTCCTCTACGACAGGGAACAAGACTAAGACTTTCCATAATGACAGGCTCCAAAAGTGAGTGCACATGATTTTTATGGTTAAGAGATGTCTTTTATGTCAATTATTAAATGCAGGATTTTCTTTTTCAAATTACGAAAAATGAAAACTTTCCATATCTAGCTAAGTATTAAAATGATTTTTATACAATTCTTTTTTCTTTTCTTTTTTGCTTTTTTCATGTACAAAAAGATTTGGGATAGTTACAACCATGAATGAGTACACTCTTTTTTGAGATCTGATCTCCTTGTCACCATAAAATTTATGTTCAAGGGATTGAACTTGTATCCTCTCTTGAGGGAACATAAGCCACTATTATTATTATTTTCTATAAATATTTTCACCTATTTAAATAAGTCTAATTCTCACATACAATGTTAACGTTTTTACCACTGATTCGAAGATACAACAAAGACTAGCAAAGACAGAATAAAAGGAACAATAAAACAAAAAATTAGACATATATGTAACATTGTTGTTCATTCTCTATCCACCTATCTATCCAAAAACGAATAGTTTCACCAGTGTCGGTAGGAATGATGACATGGATAACATAATTGGTAGGAATGATGGCAAGGAAGGAACTCTCGGTAGTTAAATATAGGAATTGCACTCTGAAGGAGGATATTGTGAAATTTGGGACTTCTTTGGGAGGGCTGTAGAGCTCTCCTCGAATTGATATGCACCTTTATTATTTTTCTGAGGCAGTCTTTATTATTTCTTCTAGTTGTTATTTGCCTTTACTTCAATTGGTGTTTGTATTACAAGCTTTCATTATCAATATATCAACATATTTTTTTATTTTATTGCTACTGGTATTAATAGATTTTATCAATTGGTATTAGAGCTTTCGATCTGGGAGCTCTAAGAATCATGCCCACGCTGACAAGAGAAAATTTGATGCAACAATTGAATGATCATTTGAGATCTAGAAGGGAAATCCCCAAATTCTATGGAGAAGATTATGAACCTTGGGGTGTCTAATCTATTTGGAAAAATATTTTCAGGCAGGGAGAATCCAAGAAGATCAAAAATCAAGAGTGGCTATGAGTGGGCTTAGAGGACCTACATTCAAATGGTATAAATGCTGGTATTGGCTCAATTTGGAGTAGGGGTGGTAAACGAGCTATGGACCTTTGGCTCGGCTCGTAAAGGCCTGAGCTCGTTTAATAAAAGCTCGTGTTGGAACCAGGCTTGGACTTGTATAAAAGCTCGTTTAATAAAAAGGCATCAGGCTCTAATTCAGAAGCTCAGTCTTAGAGCCTCCCAGGCTAGCCTAGTATATAAATATTTATTTATACTTTTTATACTACTTGTAATAACTCTCTCTCATCAATTTATTTCACCCCATTTTATTGGTTTAACAGACTTTTTGAATGATTTTGTTCTATATTATGCTATTTGGATATATATTGAATTTATGTATACTTATGGAATTACTAGTGTTGTTCTATATTATCCTTATATCCTCCTTCACACAAACAAACCCACAAAAACGCATTCGTTCCACTGTGCACTGCTCGTTTGTGTCAATTTATTTTTTATTTTATTTATTTTATTTTTATTTTTGTTGGCACTTTTTTTATAATGGGCTAAGATAATATAACATGTTATCTACCTTCTCTCACTTTAATTTTTATTTATTGTAGACTTTGTAAATTATTGCTGCAAATTGGAAGCTAAGGTTTCTATCTGGAAATTGATTTTTTTGTAGAATTATGTTCTCTTATTTTTATTCTTTAACAAGCTAACAGGCTAAGACAGGCTTCACACAGGCTTTTATTTTTTGTAAATAAACCAGGCCACAGGCCAATATTATATTTGTAACAAGTAACAGGCTAAGGCCAGTCGGACACGTTTAAATACAGGCTTGACCCGTTAAGATCAAAACTCGGCTCGGCTCGGCCCGTTAACACCCCTAATTTGAAGCAAGCTGGTAGAACTTTAATGAGGTGTTTATAGAGAAATATTTGCCTGAGATTTGTTTAGTAGATGATGTAACATTGGAATCTCAAAAACCAGAAATAGATATTGAAGTTGGATCAAAGGTGTAAGAACCCGCACCGTTAAATTAGGGATTTAAATGATTTAATTATGGAATTAGAAAATAATTCCATAATTGAATTTGGATAAATATAGAAAAATCAGAATAATTATTGAGAAGGATAAATAATGCTTAAATCGATGTTCTGGTGAAAAGTGCAGATACTGGTTCTGCTTCGCGGTATAATTGTGTACCGGTGAAGTATCTCGAAAAATTATAATAAAAATATAAATATTCCTAGAAAAATATCTAGGTCAAGAATATCAAGTTTGGAGTAAGAATAATGAGCGTTGATGTCAGAACTAATATCGGCTACGTATAAAACGCGTACCGGCAAAAAAATTTGGTATATTTGGTGTAACAAATGGTGAACTAATCTTCCAAAACAGCAGGGTAATTCGAATCCTAGTGAGAATTTTTTTTTTTGAATTACGTCCGGGTATTCCCATAGGCGATAGCCATGAGACTAATCCCTCGCTCCGGGTCAACGCACAAAGTGATAAAGAGTTGGCCACTGAATGCTTTCTATTCACAAGAGTTGGGGTTCGAACCCCCAACCACTTGCTTAAGGGACGAGATGCTGAACCATCACGCCCACCCACGTGGTTAATTCTAGTGAGAATTTGAGTTAGATTATTATCACACCACTCTACTCGAGATTAATCTCATATATGTTTGGGTTCTTTTTATCTTTATGGGTCTTGAGAATATCTGGGAGATCTAACTCGCTCCAAAGGAATATTTAGGGTCATGAAATCCAAAAAAAAAAAAAAAAATTGCTAAGAGATTAGTGGTTGGATTCAATGAAGGAGTAAACAATATTTAAAGGGAAAGAATTAAAATTCAGATATAGGATAAAATAATTATCAAGAGAATTCTTCAGTTGTGATTGTACTAAAAAATTGATTTCATAATAATACTTATATAAATAAAAATAAAATAAATTTGGTATTTGGTATTTGGTATTTTTCTTTTTGGTAGACAGGTATTTGGTATTTATTACTCTAATACTTACCTTTTTCCTAAATATAATACACATTAAATGTTCGATTGACCTTATGTTATATTTATAAAATTTAAAAATATTTACTATAAAATTATCATTTAATAAATACTTCATTTAAATAATAAACAAGTTACCATTGCATTTCTAGATCATAAAAGAGTCCTTTACGACAGGGAACAAAATTTTCGATAATGACATGCTCCAAAGTCAAACTTGCACATGTTGAGAAATATAGTTTAGGCTATAAAGACAACCCAAATGAGCCGATCAAAGAGCATATCAACCAAACCAAAATACAAAGGCGATCAACTGAGTCCACAGTCAGGTTATGTCACACATTATAACTAGAGAGGCAAGGCAAAGACTTGGGTACATTCATATTTATGAATTAGTGAAGCTTATTTCCTCATACACACTTTAGGGTATACCTTGCA